GGTAAAAGTAAAGAGCTCTCTCAAGACCTTCACAACCTTATTGTTGCAAAGCATAATGATGGCATTGGTTACAGAAGATTAACCTTCAGGGTGGATATAGCTCGCTAGCAGCCTCGCACCGAGGACCTATCCACGTCATCATTTACCCAGAATGCTTTGTGTGGAAATAAAATGGCCCCATCCGTGTTAAAATATATTATTAAAAATTTTACACAAGTAAACATCCTACAGTATTTTTACAGTCTTTATTTTACAGTTAAAATATGTGTTTATCACATAAAGTTTAATGTTACAACTAATCGTGGATCCCTTTAACAATTCGWCCCAACAGATAAGGTCTACTAAAGCAGCTGTTTGTTTTTGGATGAGTAGTTGTTCTCACCTTGTTGTGTTTCTTTAATAACTCTAACTTCAGCTGTGGCACTGACTGAGTAGATGCCTGTGTAAGCGTTACAAGTATAGCCGCCCTCATCTGAGACCTTCATGTTGTTTAGGATCAGGCTGCCGTCAGAAGACACCAGGATGTTGCGCCCATCTGGACGCACTGGAACACCATTCCTGTCACAAATAGCACAACAGAAATATTAAGACATAGTTGGTATGGTTGTTTGATACAAACGTGTTCTGCAGAACTAAGGCTCATTTTATAAATCATTATCTGAACTCTGTCCATCCATCTACTACTGCTTATTCATGGTCCAGTTTGCTAGGACAACAGGTCTAGAAGAGAAATTAAGACGTACTTCATCCCTGACACTCTCCTGTTGTATGGATAATTCACTAGCARGTTCTGTGTCTGCCCCTGGGTCTCCTCCTGGGTGGATGGGTGGATAGCTAGGTAATGTTCAGGGCCTCTCTTATAGATGTGGCTCTTAGAGGTCGTGGCCTAAAGGTCATTGGTGCCTGTTGCTGTAAAGGACTAGGAGAKGATCTCAAGGCTCAGAGGAGGATGTCTGAGTGGTAGGTTGGAAAAACATTTTTGGTCTGATGGGTCTGGATCCAGTGGACTCCTCCACAGCCACCTAATCTCCACTCAATTGAGCACTTTTAACAGGAAACTCGACTGCAATGTTTTCATTATCATATTAAACTTATGTTGGACCTAATAAAGTGGAAGGTGAGTGTAGCTGAAAGTAGTTCGATGCAGAGGAAACTAAAAACAGGGATGCTGACTCAGCATCCTCACCAAATTTACAGCCAAAATGAGTTCTAGCAAAATAAAAAACTTATCTTTAAAAAGTGATTTTTGTAATACCTGGACCAGCCTATGCTGACATTTTCTCCTGACACCACACAGGGAAGATGAGCCGTGCTGCCTTCAGGCACTCGGATATTAGTAGGAGCTTTGGTGATCCTCAGGTCTGATGAACAAGGAAGACAAGAACTTTCTTTAGTACTGATATATATATACATATATATATATAT